CTGTGCTACATATGTTTCGACTCACCGCAGAGTCGTCATCAGGCACGACTAAAATAATATATAAAGTAAATAATATAAATAAAAATATTAAATTAATTACCGTCAAATGGGTTCACAAGTGAAGGTTGTAGAGTAATGACCTCAACATGAATATCAATGTTTAAACAAATGTTTTCTCGTGTACAGACAATACAACCAAATGTTATGGTACTTTAAAACAACGGAAAAATCCTTGAATAATCAGATACAATCACAATTCAATTTGTTACACATTAAAAATTAAAATTTTGAGGTTATAACGCTCGTCTGAGCCGGTTTTGTATCGTATTCGTTTTAATTTTTAATGTGTAACAAATTGAATTGTGATTGTATCTGATTATTCAAAGATTTTTCCGTTGTTTTAAAGTACCATAACATTTGGTTGTATTGTCTGTACACGAGAAAACATTTGTTTGAACATTGATATTTATGTTGAGGTCATTACTCTACAACCTTCACTTGTGAACCCATTTGACGTCGTGCCTGATGACGACTCTGCGGTGAGTCGAAACATATGTAGCACAGATCCTGAATAGTTACTAAAAAAATTTTCCATCTTTACATCTATATTCCTTTACCGAATAATTCTAGTTCTAGGTCTTGTGTTAGTTCTAATGATAGTGCTAGAGTGCTAGTGTAAAAGTAGAACTAATCCTAGACCTAGAACTAGAAACATTCGGATTTAGCCGCACGTCTCTCAAGACGGCTAAACCCAAATGATTCCAGTTCTAGGTCTTGTGTTAGTTCTAGTGATAATGTTAGTGTAAAACTAAAACTAACACTAGACCGAGAACTAGAATTATTCGGATTTAGCCGCACGTCTCTCAAGACGGCTAAACCCGAATCATTCTAGTTCTAGGCCTTGTGTTAGTTCTAGTGATAGTGTAAAACTAAAACTAACACTAGACCGAGAACTAGAATCATTCGGATTTAGCCGCACGTCTCACAAGATGGCTAAACCCGAATGATTCTAGTTCTAGATCTTGTGTTAATTCTAGTGATAATGCTAGTGTAAAACTAGAATGAACACTAAACCGAGAACTAGAAACATTCTGGTTTAGCCGTCTTGAGAGACTTGCGGCTAAACTTGAATGATTCTAGTTCTAGGTCTTGTGTTAGTTCTAGTGATAGTGCTAGTGGAAAACTAGAACTAACACTAGACCGAGAACTAGAAACATTCGAATTTAGCAATGCGTCTTCAGAATAGAGTGTAATAGAATCGTTTGGTGTAAATGTTTACTTAATCTAATTTATTTATCATTACAAATTACTCATTTTTATCAATTCAGAAAGCACATCAAGAAATCTAATCCTAGAAACACTTTCACCAGAAACTTCCAACTTGAAATGACATCTAACCCAAGAGAATGGATGAAGGCAATAAAGCATTATTAATTAATGTTACTTATTTTATGCCTTCCAAGTTTTCTTCGACTCTAAGAAGTTTCAATTAGATTTTTTTTTAAATTAATTTAAGGATTTTAAGATTTCTCTTATTAAATCAGCTGTCGTATTTATTAATTTTTTCATCTCCTTTTTAAGTTTAACAATAAAAGAAAATCCCCATGACGAATACTGCCACGAAATGAATATACATAATAGTTTATAATGAAAAAAACAAAATTAAAAATTCCACCATCGTCTCAGTCTCTTTGTTGTCCACAATTTTTAATACAATGTATTCAAAGAGCAGCTCAACGTCCTGTTTACAGGTCCAAACTATATTTAATTAATCCTTAATGGGGCGTTGTCGCACGGGTGCCTTCTAAATATACATCTTCGACCATTAATCTTTTAAGAGCAGTGGAGGTGGCGTTGTTGCCAGTCCATTTCTGGTCTATTTTCACACCACGGATTCCGTCGACGACGATTCCATTTTTTATAAGATATTTTAAACCAAGTTCATTACCAACTGGGATTGATTATTTTCCAAAAAAAAGATCTTAGATATACACTTATCTAAGGTTTCTTTTAAACTACCAAATTTCCGGGACTTCCTATGTGATATTTGAGTCGGTAAAATATTTACACCAACTACACCTGGACTTCCTTTAGAAGTTGACACGATCTTTTAAAAATACATTTAAAGATCGCGTCACGATTTATCGTTAATTGTATACAATTATATTAAAAAGAAAGTCGTGAACGATAACGTAAATTATAGTGATTTAGAATTTTCAATAAATAACATAATTCCATCTGGTTCGTCATGATGTACAGTTAGAATCAATTAAAGAAAAAAACGTTGTTACACTCTACTAACTATAAAGTATCTTGTCGAACAAGAAAATCTAGATCGGAATTTTTAGTTTAAAACTGTTGCGGTAAAAATATGTAATAAATTGTTAAGGTTTCAGTAAATAAAAAAAAGAATTAATCCTTAAAAATATATAGATAAAATAAATCTTTATATCCCCATCAAACCAAAAATCCAAAACAAACCGAACCTTATCTATACACTTCATAACAAATCCCCCTGAACAAAATATCTCTTCCAAATAAAAAGAGATTATTCTTTACATAATGAACCTCATTGATCCCATTAATGAACATTTTAATAGGAAGTTGAAACACAACAAGTGACATGCAGATGTTAAATCTAAACAATTAGATGTCGTAGTTTCATTAAAACCATCTGGTGAAAAAATTATTCATAATAATGAATAACCGTAATTTATATTCTGTTTTTTTTTTTGACTGAATTTTATTCGTAATTTTACCTCGTCGTTAAAGAGGAAAATAACGAGACGTTGTTAGTCGTGCACCAAATATTCTTAACAGTACTCAAAATCAAGAACCGCTGTTCTCGAGACGACGACCGACGCGGAGAGTAAAAGCCACGAAATTTCTTATTATTTTTAGAGTTCTCCAAGAACAGGGAGGGTCGCGCAATAAAAAGCGAGGAATTGGGAATAATAAAATGAGGATGGGGGTAAACGGTTGGGAACCGCCTTGTTTTATTAGCCTTTCTGTCATTTAAAAACGAGAAATTTATATTTATCTTGGAGCTAATTTTATATTGGAAGTTTGAAATAAAAGGACAGAGACCTATTTCATATAATTTATTTATTTGTAAACGTTAGGGT